ATGCATTTTGTATGTATGTGTGCATATTTGTCTATGCTGGTTGCAATTGAAACCCCAACAGTTGGAGAGCATTTTATTTAATTTTTGCTCCCACCAATCTCTTTTTATTTAAAGCATATGCTCTCATAGCACACCAATAATTTGAAATCTAAACCCTACCAGCAATAATCTACTATGAATCCATGGTGGTTGATACATTACAAAATATTAATATACAGTATATAAAAAAACTCATTATTTTCAGATCTTTTCTTCTTCTCTGTGTTCCTGCTTGTAGACCTTGTATAGAATTCCAGTCTATTATCAAAATAACTCTTGGATATTCTGGTATGTGTCAATTAAAGAAAGCAACAGAAATGGGGTTTCATGTTCTAATATACAGTTGGAATATTAGCTTCCATACCAATGTGGAATGTATAGTCATATACTCTAACTAGAATATTTACCAGGTTAGTCTGATTGTTTGAAAATTACTTTAAAATCTTTATATTAATAGCATGCAAGAAATTCATGCATATATGGAGAATAACCGAATCCAGGTCTTCTGACAGTTTTGTACCAAAAATAAAAAAATAATACATCTACCTCTAGAATAAAAGCATAAAGGTCTTCTATAAATTCTGTACCAATAAAATACATACATGGAAAATGATAGCACACAGGTCTCCTGGCAGTTTTTAAGAAAAATAAGGTATTTGTTTGTAAAAATGAATCTCCCCAACAAAATCACTTTTAAAGTAGCCAACAATATTCAGACCAATACAGAGCATTAATGTCAAGGTTATGAAATGGCTTTAAATACCATGTACATGTATATGCATTTAGTTGCACATCCTCACAGTAATGACTCTATGGTGCCAACTTGAAAGTAAAATTTCACAAAATGAAACTTCGTTCAAACATTTTAGGAAGATAAACCCTACCAAAGAAATGTAAATTACTACAAAAAAAATATACAAAGAACTGACCCATTAACCACCTGCTGAGTCCAAGCTAACCAATGAGCCAAAATGAGGAAAGAATATTTGCTAGTCATTATCATTCTAAATTTCATCACTGTGGATTAGAAAAAGCTTTAATTACTTCAGATGTGATAGGGGTGAAGATACAGAGGATGAAAAAAAATGGCAGAAAATATGAGTATCATTCTAACATAAAAATTAAATCCAAGTGACCTGCTTTTGTAAAGGATGTGTTACATGCCTTGAGATACATCCACAAACCAATTTTAAAAAGTGCCAATAAAAAAGGGCCCAGATAAGTGGTGAAATTAAAATATTTTACATAAAAAAATTTCTGCCTGTGACAATGACCTTATCCTTTTGTCTCCAAACAAAACATGCCTCCGTCTTACCCAAAAGAATATCCAATCAACAAACTTTGGTAAAACTACATGGTCAAGAACTGAAAATTGCATGCAGAAACTATTTTCCTTTCTCAGCTATTGTGACCCTGAAATTTAACTTTTTGACTATAAAATAACAGGCTTATACCTTATTTTAAGTCAATCCATCCACAAAATTCAGCCAATGTCTCTAATATAGAGCTTATGTTATTATGTGGAAACAATTTTACTTCTTTTGGTATCAGTCACCATGATCCTTCAACCTAAAAATTGAAAGGTTCTTTTGATCTCAGTGCAAGCAGTCCATAAAGTTGTGTTCAGGTTTCTGCTGCAAAACTAATGTTATTGTGCATACACCATTTTTCTTCTTAAATATTATACTGATCGACCTTCTGAAATGAAAAATGTATCAAAATAACTCTTGGATATCTCTTGTTTGTAAATAAGATCTTGTAAACCATAAACCCCTTACAAACATAAATTGCAAGTCCTCCACAAACTCAAGTCAAGGTAGGTAGTCTGTAAGTGAAATCATTAAGCACAATAGTCTCTTGGAGTAAGTGATGTTCTGCTGGAAAAAATGAACTTCTAAAAATAAAAGAAAAGTCTGTTTCTTTTCTTTCAGCTGCTTTAACCATTTCTGATACTTGTGTAAAACTTAAATATACCAAATTTGGGAGCAAATCTATTTTCCCATGATTAACATGAAAATGTTCAAATACCCCTGTCTGGTTGGCACTATTTTCAATTAAGACCAACTATATCTCATAAGAAATTTCCTTTTTTTAAAACCCCATGTCACTATGGCAATCCCTTTAGGGCAATTAGTTGTAACAAGAATTTTAAGAAAAACATCATAGTGGCCATATTGGATGTCCAAGGAGCACCTTTTCATTTAACACCATCTAGATATCTCAAGAAGTCTCTCAGTGAAAATCCCATGTCAATATGACCATCTGTTCAGAAGGAGTTACAATAAGGTTTTTAAGATGGCCACTACAATGACTTTCCTGGACACTGCAGGGCATCATTTTCATTTAGAACCAATCATGACGTAAGAATTCTTTTTGTCACAATCTCATGTTGATAAACCATTCATTCCAGAGAAGCAGAAATAACATAACAAGATTTATAATGATGACAAATGCATATTGAATACATGATTAGTCCTATGTTCATTAATGACAAACCAGGCATCATACAAAATTCTTTTCGTGAAACCATATTGATGTGACTATCTTTTAATGAGTAGCAGCATTAACAAGCTTTTCAAGATGCCTAGAATGGCAGTCATACAGGATGTTGAGGGTCATATTTTCATTCAGGATCAATCAGACCTTGAAATTTAAGCCTCAGGATAATACTCCCAACAGCTCAAAAGGAGTAATGATAACAAACTTGAGATAACAGATGCAAGATGAAATGTTACATCATCAGTACTCCTGGTCTATGATCGGAGAAGTGAAAAAATACATTTTCTTCTTGCAGTCACATTGTCCTTGACTTCTGACCTTTTCATCCAAAATCAATATGTATCTTTCTTACCCAAATTTAGTCATCAAAAGACTGTTTAGCAAGTGACCTTGACCTTTGAATGTTCAAAAATAAAATTAATAGGCTTGTTCTGTACAGTAAGTGAAAGCCATCTGGAAAGTTTATTCTAGGTCTGTGATGAAAAACTTAAGTCATTGTGCAGCAAGTATTCTTCTTCTTTCAGTAACAGTTATCTTGACCTTTGACTTTTTAAACTTTAAAGTGATGGACTTCTTCCCTGCCCCAGATGCAAAGCAACCAAAGTTTGGCCCAGGTTGGTCATGATGAACTAATATTCAAACCATTTTCCTTCTCTTAGACCCAGTGACTGTGGCATTTGACCTTTCTACAATATATCTATCATATGCAATCTTCTTTACAAAATTTATTGATATTTATAAAGGTTGCTAACAACTGATGATAGAAAACTCAAGGTTTTTTTCCCAAAAATAAATAGGGTATAGATGGACACACATCATACAATATGCTCTGCTCTATTGTTGACATAATCATCACTAGTTTCAAATAATGGCATATACTCCTTATTATCCATATTTTACATTATGGTCACCTACATCCTGGATATTAGAAAACCTTAAATGATATTGATCCAGTGCTGATAAAGTAGCAAAGATGTTTTCCTGTGCTACATCTGCTAGTCCCAGTCTCTTTTCAAACTTATTTCCTGATGTGGAAAATAGATGTTTCATGATTCTAATAATTAGGAGATTTCAGTTATAAGAAAAATCAATATAAAAGTCATTCTTGAAGACATCTTTGGGAAGAAAATAAAAATAAAGTTAAGCATTTTCTTTAAGCAATTTGTAAACTAGAAGAAATGCATGTTTTGTGTTTTTTTAAAAAATACAATAGCAAATATACTTATTTCTATCTTCCCCACCACAACAAGCTATAGTTCTGTACTTGAATAAAGGAAAATAAATATATACCAAGTAAATGTAAAAGACATTTTGTTAAGAGTGTGACAAAGGAAGTCTCTAATTTTTCATGTCAAATGCAAATATGTAGTGCCCAGAAGAGTCATTATATGACAAAGATACTAAGATGGCTTATGTCCCATTGAATCTTTATAACAGATTTCCAGTTGATAGTTCATACTTTCTGCAAGATGTTTAACATATTTTCTGCAAAGGAAAGGATATCTCTTGTTTGTAAATAAGATCTTGTAAACCATATGTGATGAGAAATGATGTAATTTTTTCATGTTCATAATAGTATCAATAGAAATGATACTAGTTACTGTAAAACCTGCCAATAAAAGACATGAGATTACTTAACTTTATCTTTCATAGACAGATGCAGTTTATATAAAGTTTGAAAAAACCTAAAATCAAACTTTGCAGAGATAATTGTAAAATATGCAAAAATGCTAAAAACAGAATGAATGTAAATTAAAAACTATCATGTAAACTTTAAAGTTAGGTCATGGTCACCAGAACATGATACTCTTGGGAGCTTAGGCATCTAAATATCCAATTGGATCAGTTTTGGGTGTTTTTGTACATGTTTTTGCTTACTTGCTATGCAGGGCCCTTCTCTCTCATCCACGATGCACAAACCATCCATTTACTGAAACCTTGAAAATATTCCAATACCCCCAAAAGGTCTTAACCTCTCCACCCCCATCCATACAAAGGTATCTGCTAATCTAATATGATTTTGTTTGGACAAATTATTACAAGCTGATGGCCTTCACAAAACACAAAATTTTGAGTCATCATAACCTAATCAGGTTCTGGGACCTTTTTAAAGCATCATTAAATCAACTATGGGCTCATTTGGTTCAGTTTTGGGTCTATTTTTCATAGAAAACATTTTATATAGATATCTGGCTTACAAGATCAGTGTGTGCACCACCATCCACTCACAATCCAAATATCACTCTGAAAGCTGGATCATAGAAACACATACCCCATCTACTGGCATTAACATTGTAAATATGGCCCATTTTGATCAAATGATATTGGGGATATCTTGCTTAAAAGTTCATGTCTTTGACTTAAAACATAGTATCAATATACGACATTGACAGTCACTAAAAAGAAATGTCTTATCTCATTTGGAAGAGTTATTGAAGCATGTACAAGAATCGAGTCTGCACCACTCCGGTGGCCTAGTGGTTAGAGCAACAGCCTTGGATGCAGGAGGTTGTGGGTTTGATCCCAAGTCGAGTCATACCAAAGACTTACAAAAATGATCCAATCAGTTGCCTCACTTGACACTCAACATTAACTCATTAACCCCTGGCGCCCCGATAACTCATCACACTTTTCCTCCATAATCTCCTGAACGCCTCGATGGCGTGGCAGAGTGTACCTAGCTTGTATCCCGGGTGACAAGTTTGAGTGGCAGTATTTAACATAGCTTATTTCCCGCACAATGAGTTAAGTCGTCGCAAACCATTGGCTAATTTCAAGCCATTTCCTAATTATGCAGGCCATTGAACCAATACAATTTTAGCTTACATAGATAGTGAACACTGCTGAACACAGGAGAAAAAAAATTGATTTTGATAGCGACAGAAAAAGTGAAGATATTTAAATCCAAAAATGATGCAAATTGGCGGGAAGCAGCCAGTTAGAGCAGACTTTTACTAAGTGTTTTATTAGGTTTTAAATTTTCAGTGAGAATTCAAAGGAAGAAAGGTAATTCAAGAACAAGGAAATTCTGCATCTTTGAACATTATTCACAGGAGTAAAGTTTACAAAAGAGCTGACAAGTGGAATTTTTGTGTACATAAAATATAATTATTTTATGTATTAATCATTGTGTGTGCTTTCCTAATGGATTTTATTTATTTATTTATCATTTATTTTCACCTTTATGCACAAGTTTTATTTTTGCATATAGCATGAAATTTATATCATTATGTACATAATTTTATTGAGAAATGTTGTGCCAAATTTCAGCCTAATCCAAGAAATATAAATAAAATAATAATAAATTTACTGCAAGAAAATCCTCTGGAAAAATATGCAAGCCAGGTGCTGTAAGTCTCAGGGATACAGGCACTGGTAAGACTAATACTGGTTTAGGTGTTCTCTGCAAGTATGCTGTAGGGGACTGTCTAGCTATTTGGCTCAGGGGTTAATGAGTTAAGAGGTTAGTGTTAGGACTAGTTGGCTTGGTGTCAGGATAATGTGACTAGGTGGTACATCATGCTACATGTCTGCAGCATGAAGCCTCAGTGCTAGACATCACTATAAACTGCCACACAGAGCTCCATGAAAAAACACATTATTTTCTTCTTTCACCACCTTATCAGCCTGTCAGAATCAAGTTGTCATTTTACCTTTTTGATGGACAAACAAATCATTTTTTAAAAATATTTATTTTGCATATTTATACATGCAGTTTTGCAGATATAAAGAAAAATAATATTGGAACATAGCCATGTTTTTGATTTGTCTCTGATAAGTGTAGCATTAAAATAGATTCACAGTTCAATCCATGCTCAAGTAAAAGAGTTCTAAATCACTGATACAAGTGTCAGCTTATGTGTTCATTTCTTAGCTATCTGTTTGTATAAAGGATGCTTTCCTATCTAAATATACCTTGCTCTTAATTCACAGCATTTTTAAACTTATTATATACTCATCTCCATCTAATTCTAATCTTATGAAATGGCATGGTATAAATGCATGGCATTACAATATAAGTATATAAAATGAATGTCTTTTAGAAGACTAAAATTCAACAACTAACTTATTTGTATTCTTCTGAAACATCTAAAAGCCATTCAACTAAATGGTTAACAATTATAAGTATATTGCCTTCAAGCTGAAAGATTTGTTTAAAAAATGAAAACATCTGTGGAGATGACTCCAAACAAGATCTCAGCACTCAAGGTGTTATACTTTCATCAATTATACAATAGAAGTACAAGTTAACAAATAAATCCATTAACAAAAGCAATTTCTCAGCAAAATGTATTCTCCTGGACTAAAGAATGATAAATGAGTGCTTGCTGATAGCTAGCTGATATGAAATTGAATATTTGCTCATTGTCAGCAACAACCTCATTTATAACACAATCAATACAAGTTACATGTCTTCACCAATAAAACTTTTCCTTAAATAAAATTCAGTAACCCTTTTGATTCTTTTGGATTAAGATTGCCTTGTTTTTCAGTTATCCTGAAACAAAATCAATATACCATTTGTAATTTGCCAAATGTCTTATTCTGCTGATGAATTAGGCTACAGTATATTCATTTAACTGTTCATGTAAACTAAAATCAATACTGAGTTTGACTTAAACTATCCTTGTAGAAAGTACAGTACCTAAAGTATGTTCTTCAATGTTCCCAAATTGCAATCTTGCCCTTGTTATTATTTTAGTCTGTCTGAACCTATATCAGCAGTCAGTTCCAAGATAAGTTAATGTTATGTATATTTAATTTGCATTGTTGTTTGTTAGAGGTTTTTTAATTTTTATTTTATTATATGCTATTGAAAATTGTATGTTCAACTTGACCCTGTCCAAAATCAAGTTCATTTTCTATTGGACCAATATCATTTTTTAAATTCTGTAAACATCTACTATACAACAAATAGTTTCCACATGAGTATTGGTTAATTATTAAGATTATTATCTTGGCCTATGTCAAAGACATTGTGTTTACTATGTTTTATATTCTAATTATAACTATAATTTTACTCTGTAAAAATAATGAACCTGCAAGAAGGTTATTTTCCATAAGGTAATAAGTGTTTTAGAAGATGCTAATTGTAAAATGAGGTCAAGTAGCTGTCTTATTGTTGTCTCCAGTTTTTCATTTGGCTTGGAATTTATTTATTCAAATTATTAATTTACTGGTAATACATAGCACTCATAAAAAAATAACATTTTTGGAAATAGAGACTTTATTTTATAGTCAAATGTCAAATGAAGGTCATATTCTAAGATTGTATTATGTGTGTGTGTGTGTTTGTTTGTGTGTGTGCGATTTGGAGTTTTAACATATCTTTAAGTTTTTCAGTCATTCTGCCAAGATGTCTGCAGTGTGACAGTTTATAGTGATATCTAGCAATGGGGCATCATGCCATGCAGTATCATGTCTCATCTAGCAGCATTATCCTGACACCAAGCTGACTGCTGCTAGTACCATTTTTTTAGGTCTTTGGTAAAACTTAGACAAGGTTCAAACCAGTGATCTCCCGCATCCTAGTCAGATGCTTTAACCACTTTCGCCAACAGAGCAGTGTTGTACTACGGTGATTAAACAAAAGACTGTTGGCACATCACCATCACAAGAGCCACCACAGGCACATTAACACTTGCAGCATTGGATTTTTTTTTTTGATTAACACTAAAGTTTATTCAGAACTTCAATCTTTAGAATTTGTGTTAGTAATTTAGGGAGTATTTGGGATTTAACTCACCATACTATATGTTTCTTTTATAATTTTTCACTCTGTACTCAACAGAAATAATTTAGTTTTTGAATTTTACAAAGCTGTTTGCTTCTCACTCTTTTCTGTTACTTATTTTAAGGCCACATAGTCATAACCTTAGGTATCAATCAGTCCCATTTAAATTTGTTTAATTAAAATGAAGTACAATCTGGCAGCCTTGATGAGCTTAGGCAGCTGATAGCTCAACATATACATCCAAGTCCCCATATACATGTGCCTAATACAAGTTTTAAGTGATTTTTCCTAAAAAATATTGTCTCAAGTATACATAAACCTAAATGACGAAAAAGTATGCAAAGTGAGAACACAGGATTCGAGAGCTAAGACAACAGGACAAGATTCCAAAAATCAAAGGTGCACATCATAAATGATAATAAGTATGAATTTGAAATTCATTGATGCCATGATTTTTTTAGTAGTTTCCAGTAGTTTCCCATCTTACAGACCTTCTGAACTTGACCTATGATTTTTTAACCCCATAATCAAAAAGTTTCTTCTTCGCTCCAAAGGCAAGCTACTTACAAAATTTGGAAATGGAAGATCATGGAGACCTCAATTTATTACACTGAAAACAAATAGTGGACAGATCGACAGACTGAGAGACCAATATACAATATAATATCACATGTTCCCCTTATGATAGGCATATGGAAAGTAAGCCATCTACAAAGTTTCATCAAGGTATGTTATACAGAATTCAAGTGGCTTGGTGGACATTTAGTTTCTTACTTCATTCCATGTGACCTTAACCTTTGTCATTAAAACAATGTGTCTTCCTTGTCTCAAATGCAAGGCATCCCAAAAGATTGGCTAAAGTGGGTGATAAAGGACTCTTCTTATAGTCACTTTGATCCTGACCTTTGACTTTTGGACCAAAAACTCAATAGGCATCTTCTTTGTCTGAAACAGAAATCATTTACAAATTTGGTCAAGATACAAGCTGTTCTTTCAAGGTCTCTGTAACTTTGACCTTGAGTCCAAAACTAACAGGGTCTTTTCTTACCCAAAATGCAAGAAACTTACAAAGTTTGGTAAATGAAGATGGTGGAATTTCAAGTCACTGTACTGAAATGAAATGGATAACAAAGTGTGTGTTTATTATTTGGATTTTTAATTTAGCTTTAGCAATTTTTCAGTCATATTGTTACAATGTCTGCAGTGTCACAGTTTATAATGATGTCTAGCATTGGGGCATCACAGACATGTAGTATCATATCCTACCCAGTCACACACCTGGCCAACCAGTCCTAGCACTAACCTTTAGTGCTGAATGCCAAGCAGCTGCTAGTACCATTTTTAGAAGTGTTTGGTATGACTCAGCCAGGGGGTTAACAGATGTACAAACATGGCTGGATCAACAAACATTAGCAACATACTATACTGTCTTAAGACTGGCATATAGCAACAAACATGTTAATTTAACACATATGGCTCTCCACAGTGATCTAAATGCAGAACTTAACTGGAGGGATGGTTGAATTAGGATAAAACAAAATACCCCTCCATGTTTGTTAAGGGCATAAATATTATCCTACCATGTTCTAACTAATGTCAATCTAAAAACAAAGAAGAGTACAGTGAACTGCAGGCACATTCTGTGATCAAAAGTTTGTTATGCAGACACTTTTAGAGCATAGTTAACTCCATAGATTACTAACTGATGAACTGACATGTGAACTGACAGGTCTCTATGATCTTGATCTATTGTCAAGGTTTGCAAGTTTTTAACTACACATAATGTGCAAAAACCATCATTA